GGCCAGTTAAGAGACCCTGGCCAAATGGTCAGTTTAAGATTACGCCCCCAGGGGGTTCCTAGCTCGCAACTGGAATCCTTATCAGTTAACACCCTTTCCTGCCATAAACCCCTGTTGCTTAGAAGTCTTATTTTCAGGCAGAACTGACTTAAGTTAACCATAGCCTGTTTGTTATTTAAACAAATTTAAAAAACAATCTCCGTGGATCAGTATCAGCTACTCTGCATTTGCCTATTCCTTCTATTTATGTGCATCCAACAAATAGTTCAATGCTAGCAACTACACAAAATCTAAAATGCATTTACATGTAATATGTTATGATTAAAATACAATTAAAATATGTTTAATCTTATTTCAGAATCAATGTAAACATTTAACAGTATTCACATATTCTTTTGTAACACACAACTTTCTGTGATTTATTTTTGTAAATCTAAGCTTTTGCAGGTGTTCCTGCATTCCTCTTCTACACTATGTCTGGTCATCATTCACTTTTTTCTGATTGCTTATTTCAAAGTAACACCTGCTCCATTTCTAAAACGTTTTGCTCATGTACATTTTTGTAGTTTTACATCTTAACCATTTATTTACATCTCTTAACACTTTAACGTCCTACATTTTTATTTGTCTTAATTATTTAGACTGAATTTTGGCTTCAGCCTTGAAAAGCACAAGTTTCTTGTTCTACAGAGCTCTTAAATTGTGAATTTTACAGAATCTTTACAATACTCTATGCACGTTTTAAACTGTTATAACTGATCCCTGAATTATTGCACTTGACATGCCATAATTCACCCTTTCCTGAACTTCTGTGGCAAGCAGAGCTACTGTAGTGCTGTCTCTGCTGTGATCTTCTGCAGGTTAGATTTCACTGTTTTATAAAGAAATTAAATTGCTCAAATTTCTAATTACTTATTTTATGTAAACACAAAGTAGACCTTGATTGAAATTGATTTAAGATGTCAAGAAGCATTTATTTTTTAATTGTATTTCTCCTCCAAAAAAATTACACATTTCCAACATTCCTCTGTAGAGATTTTAACTTTATATTCAGGCTCAGATTTCAGCTTTAAATCTTACGCTAATAACTCGCAATAAATCCTGATATTTTGTTTCCCTTTACCACAAAAATTGTATAAATGTATTGTAGCTAGGATTCACTTTTTTCTGACTGTGTCTCTCCCTACTGTCTCTCACTCACTGCGATTCGGACACAGAATTGTTAAAAATGGCAACAAGGTGATGAGGGTGATGTAGGGGTTTTGGGCATGTACTGAGACAATTATTAATTGTAGCAGTACATCACAAAATTATTCTTTGATGGCTATTAGAAAATCGACCTTGCATAAACAACTCAGCAACGCACACACACGGATACTAATACACGAGAATACATTTAATACATAAAATGTGCATATAAACATAACATATCTTCTAGTGAAGGTTAGCAAATTACAAAAGGTATATATTCAATAGCGAAGAGTTACAAACCAAGAGAGACATACATTCAGTATATCATTCATTTATACCGTTTAGTTAATAAGCTTTGATTACAACTTCTACACTACACCAAAGCAAGTACATCACTCATAGGAATTAAATTGATACCAACTGGGGTTGAGGTAACAATTGAATTCTCGAGCTATAATGCAGAATGTTGAATACTCATCCAATCTGTGTGGATTCAGATCTCCCACTGACATAAGGGAACAGCGACAGCCTGTTGCTGTGTCCAATCAGCGTCCTCTGGCAGTGCTGGTCCGGCGTGAGGTGGGGGAGAAGGAGGGAGAGATTCATGATGCAGCGCGCTGGCAGTGACTCTCTGAAGAGTGGCCAGTTAACAGCAGTTAACTGGCTGAACTAGCAGAGTTTGTGCACATGAAAAGTGACTGTCACACTCTTTAGACGGGGAAAAAGACTGGTTCGTTCCCAATGTAGCGTTAGTCCTGAATACTGAGATTCAGCTGCTACAGTGATAAAAAATTCATCCTAAAGGGTTAGGTGTGTTAACTCAAACTCTGCTAACAGAGCCACTTGTAAGAACAAGGTGACCTTCTGTTCAATTCAATTAAAGCAGTAAAGAGAGATTTAAAATTCTTCAGCAAAATTAGCTGTTTGTCAAAATCAGCTACTTTGCAAGCAGAACACGACTTCTAAAAAGGTACTTTTTGTCTCTCATGCAGACTCAACAAAGGTTTATTTGAAACTTCGACGGTATGCCTCACGGACTCATTCCTAGTATAATCAAAACAACCCCCCCCGGGTCTTGTCTACAACTGTTCCACACACGTGATGTCAGATCCACAGATTTACCAAAACAGTAGCGTACACGTCAATTTAAATATACTGTGTATACAGTATGATACCGTATGGTTTTAAATCCATACATAAATACTATGTAAAAAATGTTTAAGATGGTGGTTAAACACTCTGTTGGTATGGATGGCAACTGGATGGTGACAGATATGTTTATTTTTGCAGTTTATTACTAAACAGGCACCTCTACTACTCCACATTCTCTCCTGCTCTCTTCCTGATCTCCCCCTGTTCTAGTCAAGTTCTCCCATTAAGCCTATCCAGCAACTGAACAAGAGAACTCCACAAACATTTCAAACTGCTCAACTGAACAAAACTACAACAGGACCCAAGATTAATATTTCACTATCGTGTGGTATCAAGTTAGCATATCATCTCTTTTACAACAATAACCGCAAATAATTTTATTACATATCCTTCAAAAATGATAAAACATTATAACTTTTTATGAACTATATAAACTTTATATAGTAATAGGTTTATTCCATGCTGAAAGGAGAAGAAAGAAAACACAGTGTTTAAGCCGTGGAGCCTTCTTTGGGTGTAGTTAGAACAAGCACATCAAAACTTTTCCAAAATTACCATTGCAAGTTACCGAGTTAAAGACTTTGATGCATAACATGTCCATGAAGATGGTGGAATACTGTGTGTACTTTGTATTTTTATATATTTATACGTTGCTTTTTTATATATTTAGCTACCACTACCATCTACTATATATACATTAGGTATATATTACGTATTAGACCATATGGCTTTACAGCACTACAGTACAGTATGTGTGAAATATATTTTTCACAATCAAAATTTAAAGCTAAATTCTCCTGTTTACTCATTGCTGAAATTTACATTAAGGCACAATATAGATCATATCAATACAGATGTAAGCCTGAAAGAAGCACATTGGTCGTCACAACTAGCCACAGTAGAATATTAAACTATTTTTCATATATTGAACTGAGTAATATTGTTTTAATAATGTTACTCTCTTTTTAGTTAATTCAATATTTAAAATACTGTAGTATACAGTTTAAAATTAATAAAAGTCTAATCACTGTACAACTTAAATTCTATTGGAAAAAGATTGTCCCTCAGCATTGACTGGGATTTGAAACCAAGTGTTTTCTGGCAAAATCCTAAATGCTTCTACATGCCACATTAAGCTCTCACTGCTCCACCTGGCAGGTTTTACAAAGTAGTGCAGTCCCTAGTGCAGTGAGTATTTTTTAAAACGTGCAGTACAGCGCGACAAAGTACTGCATTATCCCATTAGCATTCTGAATGGCTGCATCTGTAGAACTTTTCTGGACTCTCCACGTAAAGCGCTTTACAGGTAGTGGGGACTCACCTCAATTCCACCACCACCAGTATGTAGCACCTACCAGGATGATTTGATGGCAAAGTGTGCCAGTAAGCTCACTACACATCAGCTGTCATTGGGAGAACAAAGTCATGAAGCCAATTCATACATGAATTCCAGGAGCTACTGTAGTTACTTATCTGAATATAATTTGATCTTGCTTTGTGAGACCGAAATTCCAGACGCCTAGTGCTCATTAAACATGATTCATTATACTAATCTCAATATCATCCACTGGACACACTCACATATACGAAATAGATGAATAACTGTTTTAAAAGATTTCAAACTTGTTTTAGAATTTGTATCTGTTGCAACTGTTAATACAATGGCAAATCGTGATTGTACTGTTTATAAATGGAAGTGATATTACCACACCATATCAACATCACTGGCAAGTCACATTATGGATTGGAAAAGAAACAAGGACTTTATGCCATCACTATGTCCACTATCCTCCCATTCTGTTAATGAAAAAATAAAAGTTATGCTGGTTGCACATACAACTGGTGTACAGGGAATTAAATGCGTGTTCTGTGAAAAGGAAATTAAAAAAAATCTGTATCAGAACCCATGAAAATATAAAGCATGCTGAATATTAGTTACTGTTATTCTTTTAAACACTCCAATTGACCAAAATGTTATGTGGGGAAAATTAGATTCACTTTATTTTGGTGGAAAATAGTAGAGTTCCACTGTGCCTCATTAGGTTATTTGGTCATTCCACAAATCTCTACAGGAATGACAGTGGCATTGGTGATCTGAAGTCCTTTCTATAAACTGCATTAGCTTTAGGATGTTCAATTAGGATGTTTTGCTCTCAAAATAGTCTTGAAAATAAAGTAAATTCTAGATATCAGAAACTTTTAAATGACATACTCATGTGTACAGCTTGGCAATCATCAGTACTTGTACCTAGAAGAGTAGTTTATTCCAAATACTCAGAAGTCACATTTGTACCTGTTCCCCTTATCATATTATTTGTTATGGAGCAACAGTCTATAGAGCAGCCACAGCCTTGGCCTCAAAGTCCAGAAATTGCAGGTATGATTTTACACAGCTCTGGCTAGTATTTCTGAAGCTGCACTGCACAAATTGGTCATTGGAGATTGTGAGGCCTCCATCTGATACATCAGTTCTTCCATTTGTGATGTGGAGCCCACTGTTTCTAAAAATGGAAATTACCCAAAAGTGAGACTTTTATAGGTGGCATGTATATTGCCATTCTGTTTTATGTGCTGTGAGGTTTGTAGTGATATGCTGAGTCAAAGTGTCATTTTCTATTAAAAGCTGATTCAAACTCTGATTTCTTGTGTGTTCACAGTATGTCCCAGAAAATCTATATCCAGTTTACAAAGGGAAGGTTGTTCCAGTGGCAGATATAATAACTCCCAACCAGTTTGAGGCTGAGTAAGTACCACTAAAACTACTTTTTAGTATTAAAAAAATATGGATTTATTTAAACTTCTAAACATAAAACATTACAAAACAGAAAATATAATTTAACCCATCTTCTTTGTTTGGACTTTCATCAAGACAATTTGTGAAGAGTTCCATAATACCAGCTTAGCAATGTGGGTATGGAGTATACGCTGGTGCCTATGAGACACTATGTATACAAATGTCTGCTGTTTTCTGACTTAATTACTTAAACTTTACTTAAATTCTTTTTGAAATTGTGTCCTGGAGTCCTTCGTTCATTACTTGAACTTGAAGACATCCCTTGGCACCTGAGCCAAGTACTCCTGTAAGCAGTTAAGCCCCACGTTCATTATGTATAATGTGGCAAAGAGGCAGCATGGGTATACAATAATTAAAGGTCCCAGCACCAAAACCTGGGGAACACACTGAGTCTATGTGGGACAACATCTGATTTAAAAACAGCAAAGATTTATAAATTTACTCCTGATAGCCAAACCAGGGGAAGTCCCAGTGATCCCTAGAAAGTTTGTGACCAGAGGAATGCAATAATTGACACCAAAAGATGCACTTAAGTCTAGATGGAGAAGGATATTATGTAACCTGGGATGAGAAGTCATTAGCAAATCATGAAATGTTTTAGTAAAGAACTAAGCAAGGAAACTACTTAGTAGTTTCATACTGTTAAATTCTGACTGAAAATGTTCATTAGAAATAGGATCTACTTCTTTGTTGAAATCACCAGAAAGTAAACTACTTTCTTCATCAGACCAAACGGGGACAAAACAGAATTAGTAACTCTGAAAAGTAATAAAAATTTAGGGGAACAGTAAATCAGAACTACCCATACCAGAACATCAGCCTGTTTTTGTTTAACCTTTTGTGTTAAAGAAACAGGCATTCAATGTAACATTCTACTTAGGGATTACAAATCCAGCCATTAAGAATGTACAATGAATAATGTGTCTTAATGCAGCATACATGCCACGTTCTAATGCATTTTTTAAAATAGCCTGTTGCCGGACTGCACTACTTTGTAAAACCACCTGGTCGTGCAGTGAATTTTTAATGTGGCATATGGAAGTATTCTGTGTTGTCACCAGAAATGCCTGGTTTTGAATCCCAGTCAATGCACAAAAATAGAATTTAATTTGTATACTGTTTTTACTTTTATTATTTTAAGCTATCAAATTAATATTAAAAACATAACAAAATTATTTAGCCAGATATGTAAAAAATGTGGTTTATTTATAGTTTATAGTTTATACATAGCTTGTTGGGAATGCACTGTGTTTCTTTCAGGTTTTCATCTGCATTAAAATAATCTTTATTTTGCCATAATGCTAATTTCAGCAACAAGTGATCAGGAAACATTTTACTTAATATTTTGATATGTAAGATATATTTCACAAATACTGTACTGTAGTGTTTTTAAAACCACATGGTTTTAGGGGTTTTGTGCTTAACTGGGACAATTATAAATTGTAGCAGTAAGTCACAAAATGATTCTTTGATGGCTATTAGAATCAACCTTGCGGGATAATTCAAACAACGCACACAAACAGATACTATTACACGAGAATACATTTATTAATGCGTAAAATGTGCATATAAACATAACAGATCTTATCGTTAGGGTTAGCAGAATACTACAGGTATATATTCAATCATAAAGAGTTACAAACCAAGAGGGACATACATTTAGTATACCATTCATTTAGACTGTTTCATAAATTAACTTGGTTACAACATCTACAGTAGATACTCAAAAGCAAGTACATCACTCATAGGAATTAAATTGATATTAACTGGGGTTGAGGTAACAATTGAATTCTCGAGCTGTAATGCAGAATGCTGAATACTCATCCAATCTGTGTGGATTCAGATCTCCCACAGACACAAACAGCGGCAGGCTTGTTGCGTCCAATCGGCATTCTCTGGCCCGGTGCCAAGCAGTGGTGTTACAGCTGGAAAGAAGTGGAAGAGATTTCTGCTGCGATGCTCTAGCAGTGGGCTCTCTGAAGACCGGCTAGTTAGTTCTGGCTTACTAGCAGAGTTTGTGCACAGGAGAAAAGTGACTGCGGGTCCAAGTAGGTCACACTCTTTAGACAGGAAGAAGACTGGTTCGTTTTTGATGTAGCGCTAGTTCTGAATACTAATTTCAGCTGTCCACAGTTCCGACCGTAGTTCACTTGTTGATCAGTTGAGCTTTCGCAGTGGGTTCACGATGCTTGCTGCTGGGCTAACCTTGGGTGGATCATGTGGTTACGCACTGGCAACCTCCGTTCTCGACTCTAAGAACAAAATAAAGTCCTGATACTCGGACACACTGGTCGTTACATGGTTGTCTGAGCTGAGTCTGAGGATGTCCAGGAGGAGCCCGTAGTCTGAGAATGTCCAGGAGGCACTCCGAGTCTGAGAATGTCCAGGAGGCGTGCTGAGTCGAGTATTTCCAGGAGGCACACCTTCTGGGCTCTGTGCTGCCTGTTTTACCTGAAGGAACTACGGTCGTTCATTGTTTGAAAGCTTCGTGGGCCTCACGTGGGGTTACCTGCCCCACCTGTTCCTGATTGGCTGAGGATGAGTAACAATGCACTCTGACTTTAGGGTTGTAAACAACTTTGAATGAGTCTCTCCCTTGGAATCTCCCAGATGGTGAGGTGCCAGAGATAACCATTTATTAGGGGTACTGGAGAATCTCAGCATTGGGAGTTGTTCCTTATCAGGACAATCTATCAGCTAGAAAAACCCCTTTAATCTGAACCAAATAGAATGGCCTCTCTGTATCGAGCACCACTGAGATGAAGGAGAGAGGGACTGGCAAGGGAGCAGCAAACTTAATTCTTGTACTTTAATAAGCCTTGCCGCTACATATCGGTCCATGTGGGTCCTAATGCCTCAGTATAGTGACGGGGACACTATACTGTAAACAGGAGCCGTCCTTCGGATGAGACGTAAAACAGAGGTCCTGACTCTCTGTGGTTATTA